GCATACGGAGATCCGGCCATGCTAGTCGATCCTCGTCATCGCGGTTATCCGCATCTAGTATCCTATTTCGTCTGGTTGGCGGTGCGCTCGTCGGTAGGAACGCACGCAGAGGATGGAATGCTATTCTCTATGTGGAGCATACCTAATTCCCATACGGCAATGTAGCCTTTTTTTTAGAGTGCGACCCTAGTGCGATCGTCCGCCTGGTATGGGCATCCTTCCTCTCATAGTCCCTCGGCATGCGTCTCTGCCATCCCGAAATAAGAGACGCAGAGTCCACCTTGTAACATTCTTCCCCCCAAGGGAACCATTTCGTTTCTTCTCTCCATAGTTTTGGGTAGACGCGGGCACGGCCGGTCTGGCTGTGACGCCCCTGTTTGCGCGAATTCCCTTCTCGTCCAGTTTTACTGTACAAGAGCGTGCGTGCGTGAACGTCGTCGGTGTCAAGTTGGACGCCCAAGTCCGTGTGGAACGTACACTTGGCCACCGCCGTCGCGTACTTTAACCTCTGAACCCAGGGAAAATCCCCCTGTCTATTGGTAAAAAGTAAATTTACGCGATGAATCTGGGCCACCCCCTGGGAACGATATAGCTCAAACGTTGGGCAAGAAGGGGCGATGAGGCTGAGCGTGTGCGTGAGAGTAGCTCACTGCCTCCCAGTAGATAACGAGCGTTCAAGCCGAACTGGCAATATAACTATAGCAAAATGTACAGGAATTATTTGCAGTGCAGAGCAGGAGGAGAGCTCAGGGCTCGAGCATACATCTGCACCGTATATCAACCCTTCCTTCGTCCCGCCACACCGATCCCCCCCATCTCTGCTCTTGCCCACTCCCAACTCTTTGGCACCTTTTCTTTTTTTAACTTTTTAACTTTTTTTTTTTTTTTCTTCGATGGCGACTTGTGCTTCTGTTCGGGTTTGCGACGTTCCAATTGATTTGGACGGCACCTCTACAGAATTTACCCTGTTGGATTTCTTTGAGCAAGAGCAAGACCAAAAGGCGACCTCTACACAACAACAACAAGTACCACTCCCTCCTCAGAGACAAGCGAGTACGAGTACGTCGAGCTGGAGTTCATCCAGTGGGTCGTTTTACAGCGACGAAGATGAAGATGGAGAGCCGTTCTCGCTCCGACTCAGCTTGAGCACCTCGTCACCTCCTACCTCCCCACTCGTCAATAGCGCCAAGTGTTGGTGGACACATTCCCCCAACAAGGGGTGTGTGACGCCCAAGTCTTCTTCGTCAGAGGAAGATTTGAGCGAGTGGAGTACTTCGAGCGGGACCCATGACTCGGGGTATTTCTCGCGGCCACATACCATGGACGACCAAAAGCCTTGTGATTTACAAGTTACCAAGGAGCGACAATCAAGCTCTCAAGTAGGTCCATCTATCATAGGGTAAAATTTGGATGCTAATTGGGGTAGTTGTTCTTCCGGCCTGTGAATGCACGAGACCCCTCGTGTCCCACAAAAGTCATGGTCAAGCGCATCCAAAGCAGTCGAGAACTCAACTTGCTCCAGTACCTCCACACCCCCGGTATGCGGTACGATCCCTGGAACCCATCCGCCCCTCTCCTCTCCATCCTAAACGGTGAGCCTGCTGGTCCTTACTGTTTCCGTATCGACCATTTGTACGATCAAATCCGCTAATTCGGGTACGTTCTGTTGGGTGGGCGGGATCGTAAGCGCCATGGCTATGACAAGCGACGAGGAGAGGGGGGAAGAGAAGAAGAGAGAAGAGAAGGAGGGAGGGAAGGAGTGAAGGAAGAAGAGAGCGGACGTACATCATCCAGTGCTTGAGAGATCAAGAGTCCCAAATCTCTCAGGTCTTCTCGGAACAGATACTCTGCTCTATCGCCCACGACCACAGCATGCGTAAAGTCGACCTACACAAAACTTTAATACACTTTCTCTAATAGAAAAAAGGATTGAATCGCTT